TGGGCACCCCTGAACTAGCCGGTCTGGATGTACTCCATATTGGGGACTCGAGATACATGTACTCCAGTATTGGACGGACCAAAGAAACAAATATAAATATACTTAGAAAACGTATATGTAGAAGAAAATACGCCTCTATCGAGTTCGTTCGCGGAACGTAGTGGTGGAGCGACGCTGTACGAAACCATACTGAGATGGAGAAATGACTAAAAAAAAAAAAAAAAATAGGGAAGCGTAAATTTTCATTGGTTTAAAAAATGTTGCTAGAAAAGCTTTCTTAAATATAAAATGCACTATTGTACCTTTGAAAATGCCTCCTCCTCCTTAAACTTTGGAAATAACGAAAAATGGAATAAAAAAAGCTTTTTTTCGCTCTGTGAATGGTCTGCTCTCATAGTTTTTTAATGCTTACGCACACACTGAAATTTTTAACATGTATGCGTGGTGGTGGGCAACCATGTGGTGGGCAACCACTGGAATGGAGTCTAGGGAGTGTAACTTCATAAGCCCCAAATAATGAAGAACTAGACTTTTCCTAACATAAATCTTGTAAATCTGGAGGTTACGGTGTGGGTTCGACTTTACAAAAGTCCGTATTATCCCACAAGGATATGTATCGCCAGAGGAGATTCCTTCTCTATGATATCTATGACCCTTGTTCTCTTTCGGGTATAGCGGACTGTCCTAAACAGCTGACACTAAACTGCCAACTCTATGACCCTTGTTCTCTACCGGGTATAGCGGACTGTCCTAAACAGCCGACACTAAACTGCCAACTTTGGGGGGCGTTCTGAAGATTTGCTGCATTTACTCAAAGCGCGTTCATCTTTGTTTTCCAGGTATGTATTAATGTTGAGTAGGACAGACAGTTTGGAAACAACTCAGCATCCTCTCCTGGTGTTTCCTTTACCAACTTGGGAATGATTCCCGGAAGTACAAAATCAATTATCAATCAATTATCAATCAACCCCTCCATTTCAAGTGTAATGACATCAACCCAAGTGATTTTTTAAGAGCTTTTGCAAAATCAGATATCAAATCAAAAATACAGACGGAAATACCTATGGAGGCACCGTCGGGTGGCCTGGGGTGCGTTCCATTCTATCCGTTTGGGAATGATAGAGCTGAAGGGGGTGCTTACGTGTTCCTAGGTGTACAGTAGTCTGTGCTAAAAGGGACTTATGGATCGTTACGTAGAAAGGTAGAGTGCTCCGTGCTATTGGAATTCCTCTGATAAGTTTCTCTTAATATCTTAAGCCGCCAGTTTTGCCTGCTCCATACCAGGCCTGCTTACGTGTTCCTAGGTGTACAGTAGTCTGTGCTAAAAGGGACTTATGGATCGTTACGTAGAAGGGTAGAGTGCTCCGTGCTATTGGGATTCCTCTGATAAGTTTCTCTTAATATCTTAAGCCGCCAGTTTTGCCGGCTCCATACCAGCAAGTTCTGGATTTGGTAGTTTAAGAATTAAACCTAAGAATAAAACAATAAAAAAGAGACTCACCTCGGTCGTTTGTATTAAAGTTAGCCCACTAGGTTGGCAGAAGGCAGGCTTTCGCTGTCTTTCCACTAACTTGTCTGGGGGCTCCGTGGTTGCTCTCTGTGAAACATCAGAGAGGCATCGGTTGTATATCCATTTTCAGGGTCTGAGGCCTCAATCTTGGAGGCCAGTTCCTCCCTGATCTTGGCTGCTGTTGCATCGCCTTTTGGTCAGATAGATATACCTTTACCATAATCGATTTGAATTCGAAAATCAGCTCTCCGTGAGCGGACTTTATGGCAGCTAGCGAATCTCTGTATATGATGAGGACCGCATAGTTGGTCGAACCATTTGCTCCACCTTTCGCCACCCGTGTGGGTTGCAACGTTGTAACATTATGAAAATCTGAGCCAGTTCCGTGATGGAGGCCGGGGTCCAGATCCTTGCTCAGCGCAACCAGTGTGGCGCCCTTGTAGACCTCTCCAAGCTCGCCAAGCAGTTTTGTAGAACGCCGCGGATTGCTCGTCGTCGCACGTTACCCTGCAGACTAGGGCAGAGCCTGGTTTCTGACAAGGACCTCAAAACATTTCGTGGCTAGGGCGACTTCCACCCATCTCCACTTTTCTATATCTTAGCGTCAGGTTGGCTTCGGTCAACAAATCCTAGGAGTATGCGACTCTTAAAAATTTATGCAAACGACCTCTTCGGCTGAGTGCGTAACCACTTTACCGTAGGTCGTACTTGAATGCCTTGAGAGTGTTCCCGATTGGGTTGCGGTCGCTCCTTTTTGGACTTCTCCGCAGGGGCTGGCTGCTTTGGCGCCGTGCCATATGACAGGAAAACGCTGCTGGCGCTCTCCACCTTTTCAGCCACTTCACTGAGCATTTAAAGGTTTTGACTCCTTCATGGCTTCTTAGAATCAGAGATGTCTCCTTCACTGCGTTGCACACTTTTGACCAAAATTATAATACCCTCTGCAAGAGTATAAAAATATTAGAATACTTTACAGCCCACAATTATACAGGGTGACAATGAATAACCCGGACAAACTTTGAAGCAATCTATCATAAATGTATTATGATGCAGACCTTAAAAAAATGCATTTATCGATAGCTTGTACTTTTCTAAAACAAATATATTTACATTTTTGTGATTCCCATCAATTTGATATTTGTTTGGAGATGTCTAAAAATCGTTGTGAAATTTTAAAACTGTTTCAACAAGGAAATCGCCAATGCGACATTGTTCGTTTGCTTGGAATACCAAAACAAACGGTCTCTGACGCTATCCGGCGATTTAATGAGCTTGGCCATGAAGGTGACCGTCCCGGACGAGGCAGACCATGTACCGCTAACACTTCCAGAATTCGCCAGATAGTGAAGACGCGGATCACTCGGAATTGCAGAGTCTCGGTCAGAAAAATAGCCCGTGAAATCGGAGTGAATCGAGAAAGTGTTCGGTAGATAGCAAAAAATGAACTTAATCTCCAGCCCTACAAGCTCCAAAAAATGCATCTTCTTACGGATGACAATAAGCGCGTGAGACTCCAAAGATGCCGTTAGCTAAAGCGTCGGGCTGCAGGACAAAAATGGGAGCGTATTCTTTTCACGGACGAGAAGATATTCACCATCCAAAAGGCGCGCAATCACCAAAATGACAGAAGCTGGTCTGCTAAAGCTCCAGGTACCTCTGCAATAATCGAGCGCCGTCAATTTGAGCAGTTTTTAATGGTTTGGGGAGGAATATGCGCCACTGGCAAAACACCCCTTGTTTTCATCGATCAAGGGGTCAAAATCAATCAGGAAGTGTACCGCCGGGACGTTTTGGAAACTGTTGTGCTTCCTTGGGGCCAGCAGCACTTCGGTGATACGGGTGGACGTTTCAATAGGATTCAGCGTCAGCCCATAGGGCGAAATTGACTCAGGACTGGTGCAAAGCCAATTTCCCGGACTTTATCACATGCAGTGAATGGTCACCTTACTCGCCACATCTTAATCAGATGGACTATAGTGTGTAGTCTATTTTGGTGTCCAGGGCATGTGCTTAATGCCACATAATTTTGGAGCAATCATTGCTCCGAGAATGGGATCGATTATCGGAAGAACCTCCTGCGGCCCATTGCGCTAAATTTCCAGAAACGTTTAGGGCTCTGCATCGCAGCCCAAGGAAGCCACTACGAAACCAGCTGAATATAAGTTAACATAATACCTATTTAATAGTTGTGTATCTGCATTTTTTCTCAAATACAGTTCCTTAAAAAGTTATGATCAAAAATGTTTGTCCGGGTTATTTATTGTCACCCTGTAATAATTTTGAAATATCCGAATATTTTATATCTAACAATTCGGAACTAACATTTGATAACATAAATGCCATATATCCTTTTATTCAAATTAAACAAACCAGAATACCACTATCATTAATTGTAATCACATTAATTTCAACATATATAATTTGGGTATTCATTTCTAAATTAAAAAAATATGGTCAAACCATTAAACCACGGCTTAGAAATATTTTAAAAACAAATAATTTGTCCAATCAAGAAATCCCATATGAAGAAATAGCAGAGTTAACAGCTTAATTAAACTCCATGACTGCACCATTAAATTTTGTCTCTGAATCTGGTTTAGCCCATCAAAATATAACAAACAAAAGTTTGGGATATATTAAAAAAAAATGTATAGTTAAGCTCTTCTTTAATTAGTGGCTTAAAAAGAAGTGAAATGAGGATAAAATTTCTAATAAAAATTGTATCGTTATAATAGAAATAGTTGGCATTATAGTTTTTAATAATAGTTTATCTAATAAAGACGCTCAACGGGTCCCTCACGAAACACCCACAGCAGGTCTTATGAAATAAAAAGACATAAGAAAAAAATCAAACCAAAAGGATCCTCTTGATATTATTGAAAAAATATCCATACTTTAGGAAATGAAATGAAAAAATACAATAAAAAATAATGCAGAGCTTCTGCATTATTCTGAACGATTGAGGAAAATAGGGAAATTACGAAAATTCTTATTGTAATTGCCCTTTGCCTTTGCTGGGACCAACGAAGCTTATGGCGTGAGCAACGGAACCTTATGGCGTGAGCAATCACACACAACTCCGTATGAATGAGCATTTGCAAACACAAATGAGCAGCGAGAGCAATGGGATGAGCAACACTGCTTTAAAGCTTTCTTTTTGTCTATTTGGTACAGTAGTTTAAGGTACATTTGTTTTTGAAATTAAAATAAAATTGAAACTTATCTGACCAATTATGTCTTGTTATCCCAATTAACCCATCACTGCTACTTTGTGAAAACGTTGAACACGCCAAGTGTGCCGGGCTTACTGCCTTAATTTCACTATTGCTGCAATATTAATCGTGTTGTCCAGGACGAAGTGAGATATATATGCTTTCATATATCAACAAATCTTAACTAAAAGGGTATATCAACTTTGGCTCCGCCCAAAGTTAGCTTGCCTTTCTTGCTTTTTTCATAATATCGAATAAATATTTTTTTAATTTTTCAGGGAGAATCCAACGAAGCAAGGATAGCTGTAGCCAATCAAAGGGCTCATCAACTTTTAAAATAATGAGATTCTATAATATGTCGAAAATATAACACTTCCCCATAATTTTTTGTTTTGTGTGCGTTAAAGCACTAATGAAACTGTCAATTTTTAAGTGCTCCAATAGTTTTTCATTTTTGTGACCAAATTATGTCAAAATCCAAATTTTAACCAAACTTTTACGCTTAAACCGGTTTTTTTAAAGTCATATAAGTAAATGTCTACATTGTTAAAATGGCTTTTTCAATAAGATTTAATATTTTTTTAACTTTTTAGAAATAAAATATGATTTAATAAATAGAGAAATTAAAATTGATATTTTGTTTATATTGAAAATTTTTTTTTTTTTTTTAATTAAATGTTTTAAATATTGTAATTTTAAACGAAAATTCATATTATTGTTTTTGTACACATATACCATTGTACCTATCCAAGCCATTTTTATTCAATAATTGTTCTATATAATCTTTAATTCCACCTAATAATAATTAATAATTAATTAATAAATGACTATTAGTCAAATACAGTAAGAAATATTTCCGAAAGATTATGTTGTAGCTCGAATATGTTGTCCTATTTTGTATAACAAATTCATTCATTATAAATTAAATTAAAGAGAAATTAAGATAGAATATGTATCTCATACGATGAAAAAAGTCTACAAAATATAATAAAATAATTTTACTAAAAGCACTCATCCTTATGAGTCATTTCAGTATAATAGATATTATATATTTTGTGTAAAAACTGAATAAGATAAATTAAATGTATATAGGATTTACTTTGTTATTAATTATTAATGTAACTAATATAATTTACTATTTGATTGGGTTTTAATAACATTTTTTGCTCACTTTAAAATGTTATTAAGATCGTCAGATTTTTACGTTACCAATTAATTAATTAAGGTAACAAAATAGTTTTGACTTAAAAAATGATTGGATTAAAAAATAAAAGTTATGTTATTATTGCCTTTAATTGGTTTTATTGGTTAAGATCCTTAAATGTTAGCGACTTTAAGAAAAGTTGTCCCAACAGATTGAAATAATTTATTATAAAGACTACAATGGGTTGGGAAAGAATCATCTAATTCAAAACTGGTTTTTGGTGTGGGTAACAGAGTAGGAATAAATTGACAGTGAAATTTCAGGGGAAGAGAAATTTGATACTCCCTAACAGAAAAGAAGAGAAGACAGCCGTGTCGATTTTCTTCACTTCTTCTTAAACGAGCGGATGTGATTTTATGTTTGCACTGCGTTTTATCTAAATTTTGTTATTAACCGGTGTTTAATAACTTCATATCCAAGGTAAAGAAACTTTGCGCTCCACACAACAAAAAACGTATCGTTTCGCGTGTGCTGGGATGTATTTGCGAATAAATAAATTTTTAATTTTAATCCAAGCATAGCTCAGCTATTTTCTTTCCCTTTTTTGCTGCGAATTCTTCTACTCCACACTATATTATACCCCATCAGTGTATCTTATGGCCTCAAAACACATTGGCCAAACTACGAGTCGTTTTTTATGCATCTTGTAAGACATCAGCTCAGAAGTGCCAGGAGGAGTTATATTCAATTCTTCTTTGGTACCGGCTAAACAGATTTGCTCTAATAGCCGACTTAAAAAAGATGTTTCGCCGAGTAATGGTAAATGAAGCCGATAGGCGATACCAGTTGATAGTGTGGAGGAAAGACCCATCAGAGTCCTTGAAACTGTGCAAGCTCATCATCGTTACATATGGCACTGCGCCAGCCCCATTCCTGGCCATATATTCCCTCGAGCTGCCGAAGTTATTGGGTCCGACTTTTACATCGACGACATGTTAACGAGTGATGGTTGCATTGAGGAGTTGAAGACTCAGGTTAACTCAGGTTCTTCATATCACTGGGTTTGAATTGAGCAAGTGGTTTTCAAACTCGCCTGAAGTTACTGCATCCGAGAGCACGGTTAAGCCAATAAGCTAAATAAAGCGTTAGGAATCGCTTGGGTTCCTAAAGATGATGTATTTAAGATCCGTAAAGGTCGTCTAGTGTGCGAAACCGAAACTCGCTGTGCTATTACGATGTCGGGAAACAACGGTGCTGCAACATATACATAAGTTTTGGGCTAAGCAGTCACAAACAAAACCACTTAAAATAATCATAATTCACTTAGTGTTAGAAGCTTGATTTAGTGTCTCTCAACCAATTTATGCTGAAATTTGTTGTTCTTTTAGCGTAGTCCGGCTAAAATAGAAAACTACAAGAATATCTAAAAGAATTAACTAAAAGAATTAAAAGAATATCTCACAATAAAAATACGAGTGAAAAAAAAAATTCTTAGCCCTCGCCGAAAAGGGTAAAGTTTTGAAACTGCATTTTTTTTAAGTTTTTTTGTTATTATATAATATTATTGTCGGGTCAGGCAGCAGTCAACTGTTAGGTATAGTAGCAAGCGACTCCTTCCCGGCCGCTCGCTTTCAACTAATTTAGCATATTAAGCTATCGAGCAGCCACTCAGCCTATTATCTAAGATATATCTCTGCTTACTACAGACAACATTTTTGTTCGTAGTTGCGCTGTAGCCCTTACTCCAAGCTTAGCTCTGTTGAATTCTAAAGGATCCGGAGGCCATGAAATCATTCATGGCGGTGTCGGGTATAGGCGATACTGGCTTTGCGACAGACCTTAGTTTGGATATTCCGGGAGTCTTTCTTTGCCTCATCCAGAGCTTTTCCGTCCATAGCGTATCGATCTTCTTATCGGAGCCATTCTCCTTGATGAGCTGCTGTATGAGCTGCAGCTCTCCGTGAGCGGACTTTATGGCAGCTAGCGAATCTCTGTATATGATGAGGACCGCATAGTTGGTCGAACCATTTGCTCCACCTTTCGCCACCCGTGTGGGTTGCAACGTTGTAACATTATGAAAATCTGAGCCAGTTCCGTGATGGAGGCCGGGGTCCAGATCCTTGCTCAGCGCAACCAGTGTGGCGCCCTTGTAGACCTCTCCAAGCTCGCCAAGCAGTTTTGTAGAACGCCGCGGATTGCTCGTCGTCGCACGTTACCCTGCAGACTAGGGCAGAGCCTGGTTTCTGACAAGGACCTCAAAACATTTCGTGGCTAGGGCGACTTCCACCCATCTCCACTTTTCTATATCTTAGCGTCAGGTTGGCTTCGGTCAACAAATCCTAGGAGTATGCGACTCTTAACAATTTATGCAAACGACCTCTTCGGCTGAGTGCGTAACCACTTTACCGTAGGTCGTACTTGAATGCCTTGAGAGTGTTCCCGATTGGGTTGCGGTCGCTCCTTTTTGGACTTCTCCGCAGGGGCTGGCTGCTTTGGCGCCGTGCCATATGACAGGAAAACGCTGCTGGCGCTCTCCACCTTTTCAGCCACTTCACTGAGCATTTAAAGGTTTTGACTCCTTCATGGCTTCTTAGAATCAGAGATGTCTCCTTCACTGCGTTGCACACTTTTGACCAAAATTATAATACCCTCTGCAAGAGTATAAAAATATTAGAATACTTTACAGCCCACAATTATACAGGGTGACAATGAATAACCCGGACAAACTTTGAAGCAATCTATCATAAATGTATTATGATGCAGACCTTAAAAAAATGCATTTATCGATAGCTTGTACTTTTCTAAAACAAATATATTTACATTTTTGTGATTCCCATCAATTTGATATTTGTTTGGAGATGTCTAAAAATCGTTGTGAAATTTTAAAACTGTTTCAACAAGGAAATCGCCAATGCGACATTGTTCGTTTGCTTGGAATACCAAAACAAACGGTCTCTGACGCTATCCGGCGATTTAATGAGCTTGGCCATGAAGGTGACCGTCCCGGACGAGGCAGACCATGTACCGCTAACACTTCCAGAATTCGCCAGATAGTGAAGACGCGGATCACTCGGAATTGCAGAGTCTCGGTCAGAAAAATAGCCCGTGAAATCGGAGTGAATCGAGAAAGTGTTCGGTAGATAGCAAAAATGAACTTAATCTCCAGCCCTACAAGCTCCAAAAATGCATCTTCTTACGGATGACAATAAGCGCGTGAGACTCCAAAGATGCCGTTAGCTAAAGCGTCGGGCCGCAGGACAAAAATGGGAGCGTATTCTTTTCACGGACGAGAAGATATTCACCATCCAAAAGGCGCGCAATCACCAAAATGACAGAAGCTGGTCTGCTAAAGCTCCAGGTACCTCTGCAATAATCGAGCGCCGTCAATTTGAGCAGTTTTTAATGGTTTGGGGAGGAATATGCGCCACTGGCAAAACACCCCTTGTTTTCATCGATCAAGGGGTCAAAATCAATCAGGAAGTGTACCGCCGGGACGTTTTGGAAACTGTTGTGCTTCCTTGGGGCCAGCAGCACTTCGGTGATACGGAGTGGACGTTTCAATAGGATTCAGCGTCAGCCCATAGAGCCAAATTGACTCAGGACTGGTGCAAAGCCAATTTCCCGGACTTTATCACATGCAGTGAATGGTCACCTTACTCGCCACATCTTAATCAGATGGACTATAGTGTGTAGTCTATTTTGGTGTCCAGGGCATGTGCTTAATGCCACATAATTTTGGAGCAATCATTGCTCCGAGAATGGGATCGATTATCGGAAGAACCTCCTGCGGCCCATTGCGCTAAATTTCCAGAAACGTTTAGGGCTCTGCATCGCAGCCCAAGGAAGCCACTACGAAACCAGCTGAATATAAGTTAACATAATACCTATTTAATAGTTGTGTATCTGCATTTTTTCTCAAATACAGTTCCTTAAAAAGTTATGATCAAAAATGTTTGTCCGGGTTATTTATTGTCACCCTGTAATAATTTTGAAATATCCGAATATTTTATATCTAACAATTCGGAACTAACATTTGATAACATAAATGCCATATATCCTTTTATTCAAATTAAACAAACCAGAATACCACTATCATTAATTGTAATCACATTAATTTCAACATATATAATTTGGGTATTCATTTCTAAATTAAAAAAATATGGTCAAACCATTAAACCACGGCTTAGAAATATTTTAAAAACAAATAATTTGTCCAATCAAGAAATCCCATATGAAGAAATAGCAGAGTTAACAGCTTAATTAAACTCCATGACTGCACCATTAAATTTTGTCTCTGAATCTGGTTTAGCCCATCAAAATATAACAAACAAAAGTTTGGGATATATTAAAAAAAAATGTATAGTTAAGCTCTTCTTTAATTAGTGGCTTAAAAAGAAGTGAAATGAGGATAAAATTTCTAATAAAAATTGTATCGTTATAATAGAAATAGTTGGCATTATAGTTTTTAATAATAGTTTATCTAATAAA